GCTGTTTCACCTTCCCCTTTCGGGGGCGGAGGTAAAGATGACAAACTTCATTGGACTGCCCTGGATTCCATTGTTTTTTTGTTTTTTTGCAGGGAATCATGGGAATGCCAGGGCATGAATTGCGAACGCCGAGACGCTCCCGAGAGTTCTCAGAAGCTCGCAGAAGCTACCATCATGCTTCCATCGAGAGCTTCCATGATGCTACCACCATCATGTAACACGCTACCTGTAAATATTGTAAATAACCGCTCCTGTTAACAGCTCCAGGCTCTCTCCTCGACATCTCCCCGGGACTTTGGCTGGCTCCAGTCTTATGGGCAGACCCCCCACTACATCACTGGATATCTAGCTTGTCATCTCGATCTCAGTTTCTTTCTCACAGGTCAACCAACTCTGCTGTTATTAATGTATCTTCTGGTATACCACAAGGATACGTTCTTTGACCTTTATTATTATTTTTTACGTTACGTGAACGACTCTCCTGCGCACACCTTTTCTCCAGTTCGTTTTTATGTCGACGATTGCGTTTTGTATGAAGTGATCAAGACACACAGCGACCACTCCTACTTGCAGGAGTCGTTCTCTGGGTTTTGCAATTGGTGCGAAACCTCACAAATGAACAGTAACTTCAAGAAAACTATACTTTTGTATTTTTGTAATAAATCACTTTATGTGCTCGATTACTCGTTTGACAACTGTCCTGTCAGTAGGGTTCTAGAATATAAGTATCTCGGCGTTATTTTCACACAATAAGCCTTGGTCCAAGCACTTCAACTCTATATCAACATCAACATTAGCTATCTACATAGCTCTCTGTATAAATCCTTAAAAGACACAAAGCTCCTCTTATATATATATATATATATATATATATATATCATCAGCAGCAGCCTGACTACGTCCACTGCAGGACAAAGGCCTCTCCCATGTTCCGCCAGTTAATTCGGTCCTGTGCTTGCTGCTGCCAATTTATACCCGCAAACTTCTTAATCTCATCTGCCCACCTAATCTTCTGTCTCCCCCTAACCCGCTTCCCTTCTTTGGGAATCCAGTCAGTTACCCTTAATGACCAGCGGTTATCCTGTCTACGCGCTACATGCCCTGCCCATGTCCATTTCTTCTTCTTGATTTCAGCTATGATATCCTTAACCCCCGTTTGTTCCCTAATCCACTCTGCTCTCTTCTTGTCTCTTAAGGTTACACCTACCATTTTTCTTTTCATTGCTCGCTGCGTCGTCCTCAATTTAAGCTGAACCCTCTTTGTAAGCCTCCAGGTTTCTGCTCCGTAGCTAAGTACCGGCAAGATACAGCTGTTATATACCTTCCTCTTGAGGGATAGTGGCAATCTACCTGTCATAATTTGAGAGTGCTTGCCGAATGCGCTCCACCCCATTCTTATTCTTCTAGTTACTTCAATCTCGTGGTTCGGCTCTGCGGTTATTACCTGCCCTAAGTAGACATAGTATTTTACAACTTCAAGTGCACTATTACCTATCTCGAAGCGCTGCTCCTTTCCGAGGTTGTTGTGCATTACTTTCGTTTTCTGCAGATTAATTTTAAGACCCACCTTTCTGCTCTCCTTGTCTAACTCTGTAATCATGAGTTGCAATTCGTCCTCTGAGTTACTCAGCAATGCAATGTCATCGGCGAAGCGCAGGTTACTAAGGTATTCTCCATTGACTCTTATCCCTAACTGTTCCCATTCTAGGCTTCTGAAAACCTCCTGTAAGCACGCGGGTAAATAGCATTGGGGAAATTGTGTCCCCCTGCCTTACACCCTTTTGATTGGTATTCTGTTGCTTTCTTTATGAAGCACTATGGTAGCAGTGATCCCCTGTAGATTTCTTCCAGAATGTTTATATATACTTTATCTACGCCCTGATTCCGCAGTGTTTGCATGACGGCTGATATTTCTACTGAATCAAACGCCTTCTCGTAATCTATGAAGGCTATGTAGAGTGGTTGGTTATACTCTGAGCATTTCTCTATTACCTGATTGATAGTATGAATGTGGTCAATTGTTGAGTAGCCTGTTCGAAATCCTGCTTGTTCCTTTGGTTGACTGAATTCTAATGTTTTCTTTACTCTGTTAGCAATTACCTTTGTAAATAGCTTGTATACTACAGAGAGCAAGCTGATCGGCCTGTAATATTTCAAGTCCTTGTCATCTCCTTTCTTATGTATTAAGATGATGTTAGCGTTCTTCCAAGACTCTGGTACTCTTCCCGCCAGGAGACACCTCGTAAACAGGGTGGCTAGTTTTCTAACACAATCTGTCCTCCATCTTTCAGCAGATCTGATGTTACCTGATCCTCACCAGCAGCTTTGCCTCTTTGCATGCTTTCCAAAGCTTTTCTGACTTCTTCTATCATTACTGGTGGGGTGTAATCTGGGTTACTGCTAGTTCTTGTAGTGTTAAGGTCGTAATTGTCTCGGCTACTGTACAGATCTCTGTAAAACTCCTCCGCTATTTTAACTATCCTATCCATATTGGTAGTTATTTTGCCTTCTTTGTCCCTTAGTGCATACATGCGACTTTTGCCTATCCCAAGTTTCCTCTTCAATGCTTTGACACTTCCTCCGTTTTTCAGAGCGTGTTCAATTCTCTCCATGTTATACCTTCTTACATCGCATACCTTACGTCTATTAATCAACTTCGAAAGCTCTGCCAGTTCTATTTTGTCTGTTGTACTTGACACTTTCATGATTTGACGCTTCTTAATTAGGTTCTTCGTTTCCTGGGAAAGCTTGCCAGTGTCCTGTCTTACTACCCTGCCTCCAACTTCCACTGCACAATCCGTAATGATACTCGTCAGAGTATCATTCATTGTATCTACGCTAAGGTTGGTTTCCTCACTAAGAGCCGAGTACCTGTTCTGCAGCGACACTCTGAATTCCTGTACTTTCCCTCTCAGTGCTAGCTGATTGATTGGCTTCTTGCGTATAAGTTTCTGTCGTTCTTTCTTCAAGTCTAGGCGAATTCGAGACCGTACCATTCTATGGTCACTGCATCGTACCTTGCCAATCACTTCCACATCCTGCACGATTCCAGGGTGTGCACTCATTATAAAGTCTATTTCGTTCTTATTTTCGCCATTAGGGCTCCTCCATGTCCACTTGCGGTTTTCTCGTTTTCGGTAGAAGGTATTCAAAATCCGTAAATTATTGCGCTCTGCGAATTCTACTAGTAGCTCTCCTCTGGCGTTTCTAGTACCGATGCCATAATCTCCTACTGCCTGGTCTCCAGCCTGCTTCTTCCCTACCTTTGCATTAAAGTCGCCCATCACTATAGTATACTGTATTTTTACCTTACTCATTGCCGATTCCACGTCTTCATAGAAGCTTTCAACTGAAGCGTCATCATGGCTGGATGTAGGCGCGTAAGCCTGTACTACCTTCATCTTGTATCTTTTATTCAGTTTAATTACAATACCTACCACCCTTTCATTAATGCTATAGTATTCCTCTATGTTGCCAGCTATGTTTCTGTGAATTAGGAACCCCACTCCCAGTTCTCTTCTGTCTGCCAAGCCCCTGTAGCAAAGGACGTGCCCATTCTTTAGCACCGTATAGGCCTCATCTGTCCTCCTAATCTCACTGAGCCCTATTATATCCCATTTAACACCCTCTAACTCCTCGAATAGTACAGCTAGATTTCCCTCACTAGATAAGGTTCTAGTGTTAAACGTTGCCAAGTTCAGGTTCCAATGGCGGCCTGTCCGGATCCAGAGATTCTTAGCACCCTCTGCTGCGTTGCAGATCTGACCGCCGCCGTGGTCAGTTGCTTCGCAGCTGCTGGGGACTGAGGGCCGTGGATTATTTGACGTAAGCATGTGGGAGGTAGTGGCCAGATACTGCACCAGGGTGGCCAATCCTTCTCTGGTGAGGGAATGCGTTCTCGGCGGTGTTGTGCCGGTGAGGCCACACCCCAGGCCTCTTAATGCAGTTCCATCAACACGCGGATTTTTTTTTTTAATCCGGTTGGGAACTGCGCGGTACCGGGATTTGAACCACGGACCTCTTGCATGCGAGGCGGATGCTCTAACCACTACGCCATCGCCGCACTCTATATATATATATATATATATATATATATATATATATATATATATATATATATATATATATATATATATATATATATATATATATATATATATATCGCTAATTTAATTCGTCCTGTACTTGACTACGCGGCCGTTGTCTGAAAGCCGTTCAGGCAGTGCGAGATTCCAGGGCTGGAAGCAGCGCCGATAAAGGCGGTAAGAATAATATGTCATTGTTAAGACTTCATACCCTCTATCTTCAGAGCTATTAATTCCCTTCATTCGCGTCGCTGACTAGAGCAATTAAAATTTTTGCTAAGCATCGTTTCTTTTACAGTTGAACTGTCAAATAACAAGGAATACAAAAACTTTGCCCCAAAGTCAACGACGATAAGTTATCACAACCAAAATTTGAGGCTTCACTACGCTCGAACTAATATGTTGAAGTGCCACCCATTCCATCAAAGACTGGAATTCATTACCAGATTCTGTTCGTTCATGCAAACAGCAGTTTGTAGGCGAAATTCACCACACATTAATGGGAAATAGGCTGATCTGTTTCAAACGGTATTTGTTTGTCCATTGTTGTTTCTGTGTTTCAATATTTTTGTATTACATGAGCTTTGTATGTCCACACGACGCTATTACGTTACCTGTTTGCGTCGTACTCGTTGTTTTTAGTTATATTTCTGTGTATCTTTGTAGACCAATTCCCGCCCTAGCACAATTAGCACTGCAGTATGTATAAACAAACAAACAAACAAACAAACAAACAAACAAATAAATGAATCGTTAGGTGTGCCTGTCTTCGCACTCGATATTGGGACACCTTGTATATATAAATTGGAGACACACAAAACATGCTGCTAAAGTTCATCATTCCGACATCCCCGCGAGCCACCACCGCACCAAGGTTGATAAACGTTGCGATCTGACGAAAGCAGCGGCACTCACCATTGTACCACTGGTGGTAGACGGCCTCGTCGCGGTGCGAGGACATGGCGGCGAGGAGGCGCTCAGAGCGTGCGAGGACACCACACCTGGCATAATGGGACAGGCAGCATGCGCCAGTGGTTAGTGCCACGCCACGCAACGTGCTCCCGGTTAAGACTGCAAGCAAACACGGGCACATCACTCGCGCATGCAACAGCTCGCTTAGCGGAGTCGCACGTGGCGGTTGGCATAGAGCTTCCCTGAAGTACACTATGTGGGAGCCTCAGCGAGAATGGGAACGGTACATGAATTTGCCTAGTTCCGTTTGGCTTCGCATGGCTTGAAGCTGTTTTGTCATGTAACAACAATCAGCAATAGGCTACCAGTTACGCTTCTCCACCTTAACATTTTAGGCTCGCCATTTCGAATAAGATCACGAAGTTCAAAACGGTTTTTTTTGTTGTTGTTGTTTTGTGCGAAACAAAACCGAAACACTGCAACAAAAGAAAGCACAACTGCGTTCGAAGCCCACAAGCACGAAGACAAGGCAAATCAATGTACAAGCAATCGTTCCTATGGTCGCTGAACAATCGCAACACTAGAGTGTCCTCTAGCTTAATTTAGGAAAATCTAGCAAACAACTATACGGGCAACGCGTTCCGTGCTGGGTGTCAAAATGCAAAGTTCTACGACGAAGGATACTGGCCGGTTTATAATTCGTAGCATTGCCTCATTTTTGCTTGCGTAAACTTTTCGTGGATTCATGTTTCTTGTTTTCATCATAGTTGCTAACCGGAAGTAATCTTATGCTTCTCACAGCAGATGAAAGTCAGTCATTGCAATTTTAATTTCTGCAGTGGTCAGCCCTCATATCTCGACGAAGCATCGCTTGCGGAGCAGCACGAGCGGCATCTGCAGTCGCCACATCTGAGCATGCGCGACACCAGAGATGCGCCTGCCTCGCAGTTTTCGCCCTTCTTTTACTCCACGGCCGTGATGACTGCTTTGGCCGTCGAAGCACTGTCAACATTAACGCACCGAAAAAAAAGGAAACCAGCAATGGCCCGCATAGGCGCCTTTTACACTCTAAACTTATCCTCGCTTCACCATATCATATGACAGCAAGAACTGTTCACTCCGTTTTTCTGTTTTTGCTTGAGTTATGTTTTTTGCTAAATCTCTCACAGCGCTTTCGACGTCCAAAGCAGTCATCGCAGCCGCGGAGATAAAGAAGAGTGGAAACTGCGAGGCAGGCCCATCACTGGCGCCGCGCATGCTCAGATGTGGCGTAGTTCCAACTGAAGATGTCGCTCGTGCTGTTTCGCGAGCGACGCTCCGTCGTTCTAGACATGAAAGTCGAGCAGTGTACTTCATCCTCCATATATAAGCAGCTTTTTTACCAGAATCGATGCGCACTTACTATACGCTGTTTAAAAATCTACATTACACGGCAGCGCTACTCCCGCTACCTCCGGTTAACTATGCAAAAGACGGTGAAGTAGTTATTCGCCCCTCAGAGGCGCTACGTCCTCGAAGAGACGTTCTACTCTACTCCAGCTTACTTCTGCGAATCGTCTATCTTGCGCTCGCGCAGTTGGTTCAGAACGGAAGCTGGTTCCGGCAGAGTAAATAGCACGCTTAAACACATGCGCGAGGACTGCATATTCTCATGTGCCGGAAGAGGGTGCAAGAGGCGTTCGATGTTAAACTCCGTTTTACAGGACTTGAGTTTTTGTCCCGCGCTATATCACTTGCATCGGCGCAGTGTTTGCGATCGGGCTAGCAGGCTGCTGCACGATTGACTACACGTAATGAGCTAACCCGACCAATACCAGCCCAGAAATAGCAATACTTTGCTCATGCTATCAGCTACCGAATTCTCTAATCAGTGCAGCTTAGGCAACGAGGACGGTGGACACACTGCAAGCGAGCCCACATCCACCAGAACGAAGAAAGACGCACTTTCTTTTTTTTTTCATTCTCCTTTGTATGAGGCGGCAGCATATCATGGCTGCGCGCTCGACATCCACGCGATGGGGATCCCTTTTTTTTTTTTTGGACGCTCGGCTATCGCTTTCCGATGCAACCAGTTCGTTCAATGACTCGTAATTTCTCGCTGCATCTACTAGAACTATTAATTCTCGTCCTTTCATACGTCAGACAAAATAGCGCGTACACACACGGACCCGTACTATGACACCGTCGATATATCTCGAAGGCCAGCGACAAAGCGCTTCCCATTGTTCGCCAGCGCAATGAGTCCGCCATTGCTCATTTGCTTTTTTTCCGAGGCGTCATAATGGTTAGTCGCCGTGTGGTGTAGGACTCGTCAGAGAAGCAGACCAAAGAAAATGCAAGCACACGTGAGGCGGCGCGCAGCCACCCCAGAGAAGACGGCACGAGATAAAGGCGCATGCAAATTAGGACGCCCTCCCAACCTCGTCGCTGCGCCAACGGCGGGTCCACACATCCCGTGCACGAGAAGCGCACAACGACAATGCACTGCGAAAAGTGTTCAGCCAGAATAGGACGGTCAAGGATTCGTTCGGACGACACCTGCACGAAAACGGACAGCGGGCCGGCCCGGATCTTCCATTCGAAAGTGCCCCACACGGAGATCTCTATCGAGTTATGCGCGATCACGGTGTGCACGTCTTATCGCGTGCATGCAGTTCTCCAAATGAGACCGAGCGAAATTTCCGCTTCCTCGTGGTGAGAATGAAAGACTGGCGGCAGGACAAAGCTCTGGACCGGCTTCGCACCCTCATTTTGCAGAAACACGCGAGATGGCAGCCAAGCAGCCCCACCGACGTAGTTGCCTTAGTAAGAACAGGCCAGTCACGACATGTCGGACAAAGTTTGAAAAGATCTGACGAGCCTTTTAATACTTTACGATGGGGCGAGGCGGGAGGAGCGGGGTCGTCCACAGAGTCCGCGATTTGCGTCTCGCTCGTCGATCTGGAGGAAACTGAGCGTACAATGAGAGGAAGAGAAAAAACCTCGTGTACTTCTGGACTTTACATGGTGTGTGCTCAGCCTTACATATGAGCCTCCTGCACATCCGTCATTTCGTTATGAAGAAAATGGCAGATCCCACGTTCAGTGGGAATCGATAATATGCGAAGCACGAATGAGAAATGTTGATATATCACTTTAAAATCAGCATGACGCTACGAGGTGGAGGTATTGATGCCGTACATGACTTCCATGTCATGATTATCATGTTTGGATGTCTCGTTTACTTTTGTCATCTATTCACGTCACGTGATACCAAAGTTGGTATAAGTGAAACTAGCGAAACGACCACCAGCACATCATGAGCGTTGCATGTCGTCATGTTGTTACATAACACGGATCTCATGATTATCATGTTTTCAGCACTCACATACCTTCGTCATACATTCACGTACAGTAATTCCAAATTTGGTATATGCGACGCTAGTGAAACGGCCACAAGCGCATCATGAGCGTGGCATGTAGTCATGTTGTTACATGACACGGATGTCATGATTTTTATGTAAGGGTCTGTCGCTTGTGTTCACCATGCAAACATGCCATACCATACCAGTTTTGCAACATGCCATGTGACCGAAACCACCGCAAGAGCTGCAGGACCATGTTCTTCGTACAGTCATGTTATGCCATACAAGTTTGGTATCGATATTATTATCGAAACGGCTAAGAGAGCTAAATGTCATAGATAGATAGATAGATAGATAGATAGATAGATAGATAGATAGATAGATAGATAGATAGATAGATAGATAGATAGATAGATAGATAGATAGATAGATAGATAGATAGATAGATAGATAGATAGATAGATAGATAGATAGATAGATAGATAGATAGATAGATAGATAGATAGATAGATAGATAGACAGATAGATAGATAGATAGATAGATAGATAGATAGATAGATAGATAGATAGATAGATAGATAGATAGATAGATAGATAGATAGATAGATAGATAGATAGATAGATAGATAGATAGATAGATAGATAGATAGATAGATAGATAGATAGATAGATAGATAGATAGATAGATAGATAGATAGATAGATAGATAGATAGATAGATAGATAGATACGCTCAAAGTCACCGAAGTTCGCTAAGAAATGCTTCGCATTTAAAGAAAGAAAGAAAGAAAGAAAGAAAGAAAGAAAGAAAGAAAGAAAGAAAGAAAGAAAGAAAGAAAGAAAGAAAGAAAGAAAGAAAGCGAAAATATCTTCGGAGAGCAAGGCACTTTTCACGGTGTTGATAAGAGACGTCGCGCATGTAAGAAAGCCTTACAGGGCCTGCTCAACATCTTCCGGCAGAAATCTGGGCCTCGATCTGAGCAAAACTTCTTTTTACGAGCTCCTGCAGGCACCAAGTGCGGTCTCGCATAGCACCGCGGTCTCGGCAAGCTTCGTCAAAGCTCTTCTCTCATGGCGGGCGAAACCTGGCGAAGCGCTTTCGTGTATGTATGCAGACACATATGCACGCCGCTGAACTGATAGTGGCAGCAGTGAGACGGATGTGCGGTATCTAAGTACACATATAAACGGTACACACAACAAGCGCCGCCTCGACAGCGCTTCCTCGCGGCGACAAAAGCTTCCAGCTCGTCGATCCCGGCGGCTGCCATGATCGATGATCGGGAACGCCGTCCAGCGAGCCGGCTTCAAGAAAGGGCGTGTACGCCTTTGGCTGAGCTATTAGGGTGCCGAGTACGCCTAGAAATAGCAAGAAAGTTCTGAGTGAAATGACGTTTACGAGGCTTTTAAAACCACAGAAATAATATTTTGAGTTTTACCCGCCAAGACCACGATATCATTATGAGGCACGCCGCACTGTGGGGCTCCGGATAACTCGAAATCCTTTAGTGTGCACATAAAGTCGAGTACACGGGCCTCTACCACTCCGCCTCGTTCAAGATGCAACAATCCGCGACCTTTGAGTGAGCTATACCCGCAACGACTGCATAACTGCGGCGTTTGCGCAGATGAGTAAGTTCATAAACAACGCTGAACCTACGTTTATGATAGGGTTACCATTGAGATAAAAACATGCTAGTATTTTGGAGCATGTGTCAAAGTTTGACTGATGCTAGCTGCGGATATGCTGAATCCTTTCAAAAAAAGAATTCTCGGCACATTCGTTGCTGCAGTGCAACAGTTATTCGGGACAAAC